TTTAAAAGAACTTCAGCTGGTCATAAGGGACAGATATAGGAAGAGCTGGGGCATTTGGATCGTGTCGCTTCCAGAGGACAGATCCATAGGGGCATCTCTCAGCCTTCCCTAGGCTGCCCGCTGCGAAGGGATCCTGTATCCTAGCAGTCAAAATCTGAGATGTAATAAGACACTATAAACTTGGGGTGTCTATCGGCCTGTTGGCTGCCCACCGCGAAGGGATCCCGATCCTAGCGGTTAAAGACACGGATGTTAAACTCCTCGGGGCACCCGTCAACCTCCGTTGGCTGCCCGCTGCGACAGGACCTTGTGTTCCAGCAGTTGAAGACTCGAGTGTAACATACTCATACACTGCCCTGACCATCGGCTGACAATTGCCCATAAGAATATAGATCTGGATGTGTGGAAGGAAACACTGGCAGGCGTAACGTACTACCCTGAGTTCCAGAAGGTTGATGTGGAGTTTGGTCTCTTGAGGGGACCACTTTCCCTGTGCAGTATGGGTAACTAGGTGCGCTCCCCAATTGATAAGGGAGGCATCTATAGTTATACTGGAACTGATTGCTGGAAGGGGACTCCCCGTAGCATATTATGGGTTGAGCCCACCAGCACAAGGATGAGAGGACATGGTGAAGGAGAGATATTTTCTTGTGTAACATGGCCCTGGAGGGGACAAACAGTGGCCAACCATGCCTAAAGGCATCTCATGTGAAGTCTTGCAAACATTACCTAATCACTGTCAACTGTGGCAATCATATGGCCCTGGCTCTGAAGGCAGCTGCGTACTGTTGTGTACAGTGAGGCACATACTGTGTCAATAAGAGCGGCAAGTGTATCAAGTCTGTGCTTGGGTGGTGCAGTTCTGGCTGTAGTCAAGTCTAGTTGCGCTCCTGTGAACTCAAGGGTCTGTGTTGGCTCTAATGCCTATTTTTGGGAGTTTATATGAAAACCAAGACTGTGAACCAAAGACAGGGTAGTATGAACCATGTGTTGCATGTCTTGGTCTGACGTGCCTTTGATAAAGCAGGTGTCTAGATACGGGTATATTATTACCCCTAGACAGCAGAGGTATGCCGTGACTACTTCTAGCATTTTGGAGAAGTTTCTTGGTACTGTTGACTAGCTGAACAGGAGGACTTAGTACTGATAATGATTGGTATCCACTGTGAAGCATAAAAATGGTCTGTGTGCAGGATGAATGGTTATATAGAAATAAGCATCTTGGAGGTCAAGGGCTGAGAACCAATCTCTGATGTCTAATGCTGGTAGGTTTGTTGATAGTGTTACAATTTTGAACCTTCAGTTTTTTATATATTTGTTGAGCTGAGATCACGTATAGATCTCCACCTCCTGTTTTTTTTCTGCATGAGGAAATATTTGGAATAGAATCCTCTTCCTTGGAAGGAAGCGGAACTGGTTCTACAGCTATGATTTGTAGCAGGTATTGAGCTTCTAATTATAAGAGGTTCTCAAGGGAAGGGTCCCTGAAGAGGGATGAGGGAGGTGGATGGTTAGGATGGATGGACGTGAAGGGGATGGAGTAGCCTAGTTTGACGATCTCTAGGATCCATCATTCTGATGTTATGTTGATCCATTGATCATAAAAGGGCCACAAAGCGGTGAGTAAATTGAGGGTTGCATGGTGTAGTTTGGAATGTTAAGGAGATGTTGCTCAGACCTTAACTGCTGTTTTGAGGTAGACAGTTGATTTGGCAAATTCTGGTGTTGCTGTTGTTGTGGACTGCATCTTTGTTGTCTTTGTCTCTTCCTATAATCAAAAGGTTCTAAAGGTCTGTCTCAGTCTAAGGTAAGTGGTGTATCTCTAGCATTTTTTTGGAAGAGCATATATGCCCACAGTCCTAAGGGTTGTGTGAGCATCTTTCATCATATGTAAGAAAGACCTTGTTAATTTTGCTCTCAAAGAGGTGTGATCTATTGAAGGGAAGATCCTCCACCTTCATCTGAAGTTCTTTTGCTATGCCAGAGGCCTGTAGCTATGAAGCCCTATGCATGACTGTAGCAGTTGCCATGCTGTGGGCTGTTCTACCTGCCATATATTGTGCGGTCTGGAGGGCTGTGGGGGCAATTGTGTGGCTCTCTTGTATTATAGCTTGGAGTTGAGGGCATTTTTGGTTTGGGAGGTACTCTAGGTGGTCTTGTAACAGAGTAGTTAGTATGGTCATAATCAGCAAGAAGTGCCGAGTAGTTAGCTACATGGAGTTGTAATATTGCTGAAGAATAGACATTTCTGCTGAAGATGTTCATGTGCTTGTGATCCCTGTTATGAGGTGTGGAGCAGAATTGAAGATACTTGGCCCAATTGTGTACAGCATCCACAACCAAAGAATTGGGCAGGGAATGGGAAAACAAGAAATCCATATCCTTAGTTTGTACAAAGTATTTTCTATCTGCTCTATTGTTGGTGGGGGTAGCAGATGCTGGTGACTGCCAAATGGTATCAGCTGGATCTAATATGGCTTCGTCCATTGGAAGAGCAATTTTTGTAGCAATAGAAGGTTGTAAAATTCTAAGTAGTCTGTGTTGTTTTTCCTGGACTTCTTGTAGATCTATTTTGTGTGCTGCAGCTACTTGCTTGAGAAGACCGTGAAATTGCTTCAAGTCATCAGTGGAAATAGTAGTGGTAGAAGAGATTTTTCATAGAGAAACGTTGTGAGGCAGTTTTCTCTGTTGAGTCTTGCCCTTGCTTTCAGGTTAGAACCATGAGGGCACTTCAGACAAATGGCCTTCTCCTAAGCATTTTATGTAGGAAGAATGTCTGTCAGATGGGCTTCGGTTTCTGCAGGAGTCACATCTCTTGAAGCCTGTGGAACCAGGCATGTTAACCAGGGGTAGAACAGGTGGGAAACAAGTACATTTAAAAAAAATTGTTTGGAAGAAAAAAAAAGATCAATGAAGGGGTATACAAACTTAGATGAAGGAAACTTTGGTAAAACTCTATTTTAATGTTTCAGGTCTAAGAAGGGTGACTATGGGGAGCTCTGTCTACTGCCAAGGATAGTAGAGAAGGAACTGAGGAGTTGTGCCATGTGCACAGTCAACAGATACTAATGGTACAATGAAGCACCAATGTGCATGCGCTGTGTGGCAGAACACTGCTAGGAAAAATCTCTCATCACCAGCATGAGGATGCACCAGCACCTGAAGTGGGGCATCCACAGGGACAGCACGAGAAGAACTAGCAGTGACACAGATATACTGGAGTGGGAGGAGAGGAAAAGAAGAAAGTGAAGAGGTGGTTATAGTAATCAAAGCTAGAGACAAAACAGAGTGCACAATAGCTTCAGTAGACTAGACTATGTGGAAGGGCTAGGTGTGGATGACATTAAAAAAGGCAGATAAGACTGAATTTAGAAAGAGACTACATATGGGGGTATGAGGAAAGAAATCAGAGTAAACTCTATATATGGCGGTATGAGGAAAGAAATCAGAGTAAACTGAGGTTGAGAGCCTAGGAGATGGAAAGATAATGAAATTAAGCATTTGGAGATGAGCCAAGATAGATGGGACTTGCCTACAGTAGGGAAATTGGCATGTATAATTCACTACTAGACCTGCTCTATAAACAAAAGATTCTAGTGTTGATATTGATTAGACAGGAGCTCCTTCTCCAGTCTCTCTGATCTAACCACCTCCCAAACTGCATATTCAGTCCTTTATCCCAGTTTTAACTTCCCTTTATCTCTTTTCAGATTCACTATAGTGGCAATGCCAGGGCCTTCCAAAAGTTCTTAGCCAAAGCTTTGTCACCATATCTCACTATTAATGAACCACACACCAATCCTTCAATAAAAGGCTTTTTTACCCTAACATTTCAGCCTGTATACACCACTAATTCTAGGACAGTTTGTCTCAAACACAATCCCCACAGCACCAAGAATACTATCTATGTGTGGGAACCCAGAATTATGATTTCCACAAGGCACTACTGATGAAAGACGAACCTAGAAATGAATATAATCTACTATATATTTGAGAGAGTTCGTGCATCTGTCTGTGGATCCATTTGTTCAAGAACTCCTCCTAAACAGTAAGAGCTAGGACCACAACATTTGATGTGCAGATTCTTCTTATAACTTAAAGCAAGGTAAAGGTTTGGCTGTGCCAGGACAATGGGGTGTTCTTGGAATTAGATTATTTCTCATAAAATGGAAAAGGAGGGGTCTGGTAGGAGGGACCATTATTCTATAGAATGACCACATGGGGACAGGGACAGCTAGAACCCCATTAGACCTGCAGGAGGCAGGAGTGGAGAAAAGAACAGCTACATATTATATATTTCAGGGAGATATCGGTGTCTGCCTCCAGCTAGGGGACATGCACCTCTCCCTCGGCTGTGTGAGCTTCAGAGGCAATGGACAGACATTTCTTACCTGGCCCCAAGCTGCTGCGGTGAGAGAGGACTGGGGTTGTCTTCCCTCCCTTGGAGCAGCCTGTATACTGGATCCCTCATCACCAACCCCACCCATGGTAATGATTTAAATGAAGAAAAACAAAAACTTATTTGAGTTAAGGACCCGAGCAGCTTTGGGAAAATCTTCTAGTTATATATTATATATATATCCCAATTAGATCAGATATCCACCTTGAAATTTAATTAGGATACACTGATCGAAAATCTGTCAATTCAGAGTTCACCAAAATGATATAGGAAAATAACAACAACAATAATAATAAACACCCAGGAAAATATACTGATGCTTTCATGTTTTAAATAATAATTTCTTAAACATCTATCATGTTTTAAAAATAGAGGATCAAGTTTCAAGGTAAGTGGTACTATGGTCAGAAAAATAAGTTTACGAAAAGATTTTTACTTTTCTGAAGTATATATATTTTTTACTTAAACCAACTTAAAAGTAACATATGCCGCAGAAACTTTAGAAGCTCATTGTAACAAACTAGAGGAGACAGCTTTTTGCTACTAATTTTCTTATATGCCGCAGACACTTTAGAAGCTCATTGTAACAGAAACTAGAGGAGACAGCTTTTTGCTACTAATTTTCTCTGAGAAATGGGGATATGCTATCACAGCTGAAGTGTGGAAGACCACTTAAAGTTCCTTTATATAAGTTAAGGCTGGCTTTGTCACAGAACTTGAAGATGCATCACCAAGTAATACAAAGAGAAACAATTCAAGTACATTGGTTTTGAAGCTGATCCTGCAAACCTTGTACAGAATTCCTACTGAAAATCTACCTCTGGAAGTGCAATGGATAAAAGCCTTCATCATCTATATTTTCAGTGCACAGAATTACCACTGAGTGGGAGGAATTACCATGATGACATAGTACAGAGTCATTGTACAAGTAAACTGGATTAACTGGACATTTTATGTTAATCTGTAGCAAAGAGGTGTAACCACCTTCAGAGATTGACACTTAGGGTGGCCAGATGTTTTCTGGTGAGCTGAACATGGAAGACCATGCTCTCCCTGTTGGAAGTAGAGGGATGGAACATGAACAGGAAATATAAAAAATTCATCCCATAGCCAATAACGATAGACGTATTCTCCCTGCTACAGACTCAGAAGCCCACAGAAGACTTTGGAAGTCCCAAATAGGTCCCTGAGTAACCCATATGGCCAGACATACCATATGCTGAGGAGTTGCTGGGACTGCGGATCACAGTGTACCCTGGGGAGATGGAAGATGACCCATGGAAGGTACATCCAGGGTGGATTATAGGAAGCAGCTCAGGGGTACCAGACTGGGGGTCTACTGGAGACACACGGTCAGCATGTTGTGGGAGAGTCTCCACTTATCCAGTGGCAGTCAGTTTTGCAGCTAGTCTTGTGCTGGGTTGTGGTGAATTTGAGTAGGTCTGCATCTGCTCTACCATACCTTTCCCGGGGTGACAGTTCTTCCCTGCCCCTCCTTCCCCTTTAAATCAGGAACTACCTAGACTGCCTGGTGTCCTTCCCTGCCTACGGACCTGGGTCCTTCAACTGGCCACTGCTCTACATTGTCTGAGCGTTTGAGCGCTAAAGACAGCAAATTTCACCCTGCACTGACTGTCATTCCAGGGTCTGACAGCGAAGAGGCCTGGCCCCAGAAACTGACAGTGAAGAGCAGGCCTACACACATACACAGTCATACTATACAGTCTGAGAAAAACAATGTTATTCCTTTATGTTAATTGACTGCAATAATTTCTCTAACTGTGGTCTTTGCCTCACATAGCTGGCTGATCACAATGTATTAGTTCTTCTATTTGTTATCCGATACCATGTTGCTTTAAAGCCAGCTTAAAAATCATTAAGTAATTGCCTGTGATTGTTGTAGTTGCCACAGGAATATTGTGGAGTTGTGAATGGGTGATGGTGTGTGTTACTGAGAATTGGAAGATGGTTGTCCATGACATGCACTCTATTAAGATGTGGTCCAATCCTCCAGAAAAAATGAGAATCCCGAAGGAACCTGTTTCCTTATGGAATTATTATTGCCAGTTTAATAAAAACTTCATCTTGTTGATAAAGAAAAATTACATTACCTTCTTCCTTTCTCTTCTTTGCTTCTTCTTCACTTCTTTCTTTAGCCTTCAATGCTTCATCTGCTTTTGCTAAAAATAAAAAATAAAAATTAATGAGTTATTAATACTTGCTTTAATTTCATTTGTATAATAAAACAGAAACCTCCTGAGGGCTGAAGTTCACTTTCAGATTAATTTCTACAGCTCCCAGCAAAATCAATGTGCATTTGAAGCAGAATTTGGCCCTTATTTTTTTTATACACAAGTCCAGTACTGTTAATCAGTATCATAACTGACAATATATAGGGTGAAAAGAAATGACATAGTGGCCGACTGTTTAAAAAACAAACTAATAATTAATGTAGTAAGTAAATTAAGATTTCTTGGGAAGGAAAAGCCATATTTCCAATATTCAGAGCTCCATGTAAGATTTAAAATATAGGGTGTCTGGACTGTCTATGTCACAGTATCAAATTAGGTAGTATATTTTTTTCATTGCATATCATAACAGCAGTACTTTATTCATGTTATGACAGCATCCTCTAAAAAGAATCCTTTTCCCTCTAGAAGCCTCTTCCCTTATTACTTAATTATCTACTAGTTGCTCAACTGCAGGGGTTTTCAAACACTTTACTACAGATGTTAAAGAAGATTAAAAATATACAGCACAGTAACAAGGGACTATCAATATACTCTGTAAATTAATTAAATTTCTGTTCTAGCACATCATTTATTCCAAAGCATTAATGTCTCAAAGGAGCCATTCTCTTTTATTGCCATCTCACTGCCTGATGAGTGAACTAAGTGAGAATAAGTCTCTAATAGCATTATACTTGATGAAATATTAACTTTTTAAAAGTACCGCTCTGTCAAAAGAAAAGGAGCCTGAACTAACAGGAATTAGACTTTAGACCAGATCTTTCTATACAATAAAGCTACTATAAACTGTAATATAGAAAATGTATTCAGTTTTTCAGGTACTACGTTCTATTACCTACTGAATCAACCTGTAATTTATTAACATAATATTTATCTTAAGAAATGTGTGAACAGAAAACAAATGCCACATCATTATATTTTTCAAAGTCTGATGTCTTTTCACAGCCCACTAAAACTTCTTAAAAATATACAAATTAAATGCTAGTGGTATGAAATGATAGAAGCAGTTACACAGATATGTTTTCATTTATAAGCTTTTATACCCACATAGAGCATGTCTACACAAGGAAATTATTTCAAAATAACTTATTTTGAAATAATAACCCCCAAAATAGCTATTTCAAAATAGCATGTCCATACTACAGGGAAGCCTCAAAATTACTCGGAGACAGGCTCCCTTAATGTGGACTCGCTACCTCGACTTAGATCCCCAGGAAGTACTGGGGAGGAATTACTTTAAGTGACTTTGGGGAGTAGTTATTTCAAAATAGCAGCTGTGCAGCATCCACACTACCACTATTTTGAAATAACTGTTTTGAAATAAGCGTTATTCCTCATGGAAATCAGGAGTTATTTTGAAATAACCAGCCCATTATTTCAAAACAACAGGCTCAGTAGTGTGGACGCTGCGCTTAGACTGCATTTAAAGGCATAAAATATTAAAACTTTTCTGCCAACGAATATCATTGCAAGAATCTATTAAATTAGATAATAAAAACAAACCACTAGTAACTCTAAAGACTTTTACTTCATTTACACTTTATTTTCCCTGATAGAAGGACACGGATAATAGAAATTCCATTTAAATTCAATTCTGTTATATATGTAATTGTAGATATACCCCTTGAGTCATGTAAAATGCTCAGCTTATGTTTCGTTCAAATTATCCCGCTTGGATTCACATTTTACTTCTTACAACCATCTTCAATATGTATTAGCAGAGCTCATTAGACTGAAATTTAATAATGCAAACATCAGGTGGATTTCAAGAACTTCCATTATCAGCACAAGATGGATTGCTTATATACCTCTTGGGCCAACTGGGCACAATTTAGATTCAATAAACTACCATGCCTAAATTTGATTTATCTATTCCACTATGCTAGTTTGTTCTTCCTTACTGATCCAATTAATTGAATTTTTTTTAAAAAACGGTTATCCGAGAAAAAATGTTTAAAGAAATTGAAGCGGCGTACTATACCATTGCTAAATATGCATTTTATCTAAATTAACTTTATTCTATAAATTTTCAATTCTTCTAACTATGCTCAGTCACAAGTGGGGTTTTTAAAACTCCATTTAACAGAGATAAAAAAATTCTGTTTTGGTCTTGCCTGATTACATAAACAATGTCACTGCTTAGTAAGTATTCTAAGCAGAATCATGCACTCTAAAATGCTCCTTAAAAACTATTTAACTTAGCCCCTAAACATTCACAGTGATCTATGAAGTTACACAATCAATAGCAGCTTTTAAAGCCTGTGTGTTCGTCTGAGGATTACTCAAACATTTTAATTCCATATAAATCTATATCAATTTTTCAACTCCTTTTCTCATTTACGTGGGATCGAGGGTGCTCTTGTTTCTTTGCTACTCCTTTCTGTCCACTACATGGGTTCAAAGATCTTAGTGTTTCAATCCTTTTCTCTTTAAACTTGAGCATTTCCATTGTATCCTCTGTCTCCCATTTTCTTACTGTCCTTTTCCTCCTCCCTTGTTTTCTTTGCTTGTCGCTCTTTCCCCATTTTACATGTCCAGCCCACTTCAAACATGAACTCTCCAGCCAATCACTTAAGAGTCCTAAATTCATCTTCTCCTTCATTTCTTCCAGGTAGATTCAACTTACCCTTCACTTGCCTTCCATTTTCTTCAGGTGTGTTGTTTTCTATTACCTGTATTTTCTTTCATGCAATACCCACTGTTTTCAGACAGTACACAGGCAGGGACAAACACATGAAACATTCAGCGTTATTTAATTGCAGGTTCCACAGTATTCTTGCCATCTTTTTTCTCTGCTGCCCAGGCACATTGGATGCACATTCCCTAAAGGCACTAAGGATACTATCCAAATATGCATTTTTTCTTCTGCTTCAGAGTCTCTCGTGAAGTGCAAGTCAACAGCTCCTTTTCCACCTTTGCTCAGTTTTCTTTGTCTACGTTCTATCGTGCACCAAACACTATTCCTAAAAACTGTAAAAGCAGCACCGTGGACATCCAGATTTGCTGTTTGCAGTGTTCTTGTAGCTGACTTAGCCACAGGATATATATATGAGAGACAGGGTGAGTGAGGTAATTTTATTGGACCAACTTTTGTTAGTGGAAGAGAAAAGCTTTTAAGCTTCACAATGCTCTTCATGTCTAGTGAAGGAAATCAGAGTACTGTATTCAAATTAAATATAAGGTCGGACAGATTGAAGGGTAAATGTAAGGGTCACAATACATGTTGTGGGAGACCATGTAAAATGAAGTGGATAATTAATATTTGTAGGATAGTGTAGGGCTGGTAGGCAACAGGTCTGTTACAAGTTGTTGTAAGTTTCTGTTAAATCTATGGCTTTTAGTGTTCAGAGTTAATTTAATTTTACGTGCATTCCTTTTGTAGGTTTCCTTTGAGGATCCTAGTGATTTGGGTTTTCTGAAAACCTGTCTTTTAATGATACATTGATGAAAGGTCCAAATTCATAAATTTTACCTTTTTCAAAATGACCACCATTTTTTATTACTGTCAGTGGCTCTGAAGCCAGCAAGATGGTTGCTATTTCCCTACCATATATCTGCATGTGAAAGTAAGGCTTGCCTTAATGAAGTTGGTTGTCACCTCCCACTCCTTTCAATGAGATTAAAGCCATCTCCTTGGGCAAAATAGCTGTCATTCCATGGTTGAGGAGACTGAACAGGCCTCAGGGATTGTTAAGAAGAGCATGGGAGCAGTGGTGGATAAGAGGAGGACTCTCTGAACAGCTGAGGAAGGCAGTACTGCTAATTCTCATGAACTGGTAAGTTAAAGGATTTTAGAGCCTAGAGGAACAGTTCTAGCAATCACACTAGAAGCTCCTTTAATCCTACAAGTTTTGGGACTGGTACACAAGCAGAGATCTGTGCAAGAGTCTTGGGCCAAAGACACGCACATACCATATCTTCACACATGGACCTATACCAGAAAGAGGATCCTGGGGCAACAGAGAGGTAGGAGTGGGAACTCCAGGAAGTAGCACCACTGGATCCCAAGCAGAGAAGTCCCAGACAAAAGGAATCAGAAGTGTTGTTGCTGAGTCAAGATACCGTAGTAATAGAAAATGGATGGCAGTTCCCCTATTTTAGGGTTGGAGCGAGGGTGAGTCGAGTCTGCTTCTGAGCAGCAAGAAGAGGCATGTACTTTGTGTGCATGAAAAGTTGACTTTTCAATCTGAAACATTGGCAGAGGTGCAGAGGGAAGTTAAAAAGTCAATAAACAGATTAAGAACACAATGGCATTTAAAAACTCATTTTTTTGGGTACACTCAATTTTTTTGGGTCTAATTATTTTTGAGCTCTTGATGTTGGCAATAGTGATCTACCCATTTTACTCTAACTTTTACTGGCCAATCCCCTGAAGCAATTCCTAAAATGGCTACCACACTACCTCCATTTCTAACCAAACTGAAAACAATCACAAACCAAGATTTTTTATTTTGGTTAAATAAGGACATAGATGAGAATAGATTACACTAAAAAGATGGAAAATCCATCAAATTTTTCTAAAATATAATTCATACCTTTCACTCATCACTAGTATTGAATTTGTATAAATCTCTATGCTATTCTTCCAAATTAAAGGGTATAACACCACATGTAGCTCACCACCTCAGGAAACAGAATTTGGTCAAGAATCAGTGGCCAAACATCTACAAGTAAATGCACTGCCAACTTAGATTTTTTTACCTTGGGTACACAGTACCCAGACTGAAAAATATCAAAACTTTTAAATTAGAAGTCAAAATTTGAAGTCAAAATATTTAAATTAGAATTAACTTTTAATAAATTTGGGCAGGTTTTGGTGCTTTTAAAAAAATTAAGTGAAATTCTACTAGCATTCTCAGTACTATGTTTTATCTAAAACAGTTCAGTAAGTGTAAATATAGCCCAAACCATTATGTGTGGATATTTAAAAG